CTGCCCAGAGCCTTTTAGCATTGGACTAACCAGTGGTGCCTCTTCTGGCCACATGGTGCCAGCTGGTTCACCACCAGCCTGGCCATGAGGATGTCCGCACAGCAGTAGGTGAGTCAGGGGCCTGTCAGAGGTGTTATGTCTTGTGTTGTGTCACGGTTGACTATGTAGTTTTGCTAAGAAGTTAGACTGGATTTGTATCAGATCATTTGGATAGGGATGATCCTGCCTCGGGTAGGGGATTGGACTAAATTATTGGTTCTCACCCTTTTTTGTACTGGGACCCATTTGCCAAGATCTATGGCTTGTCCCAACCTACACACCCTGGTCTGGCCAGTGCCTGACCCACAGTCCCCTGTCCCCCTGGGCCCTGCTGGCACCCCTCCCCCCCAAGCCACTGCCCCCTGGCCTTGCTGGTGCCCCTCACCCCGAGGCACTGCCCCCTGGTCTTGCTGGTGCCCCTCACCCCCAAGCCACTGCCCCCTGGTCTTGCTGGCACCTCTCACCCCCAACCCTCAGTCCCTGGCCCACCCCTAGCCCTGCTGGAAGAGGCCCCCAGCTGCCCCCATCCTGCTTGGAGCAGAGTGTGAACAGTGAGTGCAGGCCCTCGTGTTTATGGGCTCCAGCTCTGGCTCCATGCTGCCAACTCCTCTGTGAAGGACCGCCCCCGCCTCCTTCCCCTGCTGAAGAGCCAGGTGCCTTCTCCCCTCCTGCCCTGCTGTAGCCCTGCTCCCGGCATCCAGCAGCTGGGGCTGCTCCCAACACCCGACCTCAGTCTATGCTGGCCATGTGTGTCTGTGTGCACAGACGCATGTGCACCCGCTGCCTCCAGTCATCCCAAGCAGCTGCTTGCAAGCTGGAACACTGACAGCCTGAAAGGGAAAACCCGTGCTTTCATGGGTTTTTCTGGGGACCTGCTGACAACCCTTTCAAATATTCTTGCAACCCACTTTCGGGTTGTGACCCACCAGTTGAGAAACACTGGACGAGATGACCTGTGGAGGTCCCTTCCAGCCCTACTGCTCTGATTCTGTGACAATGTTGATATGATTCTGGAACAGATTTAGGCAGGAGCGCTGACTTTGGCAAATTATACAAACCAACTCAAATAATTGTGTTCTAGAGGCCCCCAGTTGTTACATAATCGTAATCTTGATCAAACTTTGAGTTCCTTAGCTAGGTAGAATTCTCTCTGTAGCCTGAATAAGGACCAGTACTTTGGCCTGACCCTGCCTGACCTCTCTAC